ACAGTGGAGAATTGCAGTATTCGATTTACAGTATTTGTTTTATTTTAGCAAACTCCTCTGCATATTGCACTTTTGCATAGTTCCAATCAAATAGTCAAATATCTGGTGGCTTGTGGAGCAAATGTCAATGCCAAAGATCAGAAGGGAGTAAGACGTTGTTTAAAAAACTGAACCTCAATAGTAGCTGTAAAACCAAAAAAATGAAGATGTAGAAAAAAACACATTGAAAAAATATTTTTTTTTTCAAAATGATTATGTTACTCTCTATTACCAATACTAAGTGATGCATATTTTTTCGCATAAATCAGAGCCAAAGTTGTCAAAAATGACAAATTTTTGTCACAATTCTCTGAAAGAAAAAAAATGGCTTTTTTACGTAATAAAGTTCTGCAGAAGCGTTGAAACTTTATTGATATAAAAGTGTTGTGATTGACTGCAAATAAAAATTCTGAGTTCACATTTTTGCTAACGTTAGTTCACAAAAAAGTGTGCTAGAAAAGCACTTCTTATTGGGTATATTAGAACAAAACAGCTGCTTATCTGTTTTTTATTTGCTAGTTAAAGTTTTGGTTAAAATTGTAAAATATGGAAAAAACAGTAACTGTTCTTGTATTTCAATAATCAAAAGCATTTTTTTTTCAGCGTGTACCTCTGCACGTCGTTTCTACCACAAAAAATTTTAGCATGGCGAAGTATTTGGTAGATTGTGGAGCTGACATTTGTGCAAGAAATAAGTTTTCTGTGAGTAGCTCTTTAATAATTCGGAAAAAAACTGTCAAAATTTTTTTAATAGAACTGTTTCTTACTTTCTCATTTTATTGCCAATTTTCTTCCTTAGTTTTTTTGTTAACTTTTACAAGACTACTAAATTGCTCGTCGTCGCGATAACTTTGACGAATACTTTTACATGAATGATATATCCTTGAAAACTCAGCCAGCCAAAAACAATTCAGCATAATTTTCCTCATTCATCATTTTTTTTTTGTTTTGTTTTAGACATCAAGAGTAATCTTACAAATTTGTTATTGCTCTCTTCTTTGCAGTTGATCGTTGAGTAAAAAAATTGCAAAAATTTTCTTAGCAGAAATGCATCAGCTCTATTTTTCAGCTTTCTAATATACGATACAGTAGGAAAATTATAAATATCACTTTTCTTTTCTCAGGAAACAGTTTTAAATATCGCGTCTTGGAAAGGTCGTCTAGATATGGTAAAGTATTTCGTTGAAAAAGGTCTTCAGATAAATGCGAAAGACAGAAATGGGGTAACGCATTGTCAATAAAATAATTTACCTACAGCTTTTATGCTATATTTCTCTTTTTAAAGTTATACGCAGGTCAAAAAACATATTGCTATGTGGGAAGGCTATTCGAATATTTGACCTTTAGTTAAGAGCCAAATTGTTGCTCAATTAAATTGGTTTCCTTCCTACAGTGCTTCCCTTCTGTGAACCAATTGCTTATTGTTTAATTTTCTACAACTGTTTTTAAAGTATGTACCACAAAACAGCAAGTTCTATTTAAAAACGTTTTGCTTTTTAACTAAAACTTCTGTTTGTGCTGTTTGCTTTGCAGCCCTCTATCCGCTCTCTTATTGCTTAGTGCAGTTCTATTGCTGTAAAAATACTAAATATGCTGTCAGAAAGCCAAATTTATCTAACACGTTGCAGTGCAAAATATACGATACATTTTTTATCTAATTTTTTCTACCTCCATTAATTCTCTTCCATTAAAAATATGCTTCAGATTTTGGCCCCGAATAAAACAAGAAGAAAAAAACATAAATTTTCTACTATTTTACGTTCTTCTAAATTAAAAAAAAAAATGTTAGACTAATCTTGAGCATAATATTTTTGAACTTATAGATTTGCATATTTCCATGCTTTGAAAATAGTTTTAAAAATCAAAAGTAAATAAACTTTAGTTTTTTTAACTAAAGTTATTAGAGCTTATTCTTTGCAATGTTCTAGAATTATTTCATGTCAGCGCTTTAGTTACGAAGCAATTATCCAAAAACTGCAAGACCTGCACCAAAATATATTGTTCTCTTTAGCCAAAATTGAACATTACTGCATGCTTGCTGTGCCTGAAAAAAGTTATTTTTGAAGCTGAGACCTGCCAAAAGTTGGCAAAAACAGCAAAAAACTTGCATTTTTAGCATCCACTTTGAAAAGAAAAATAAAAAAATAAGCAAAAAAACCAAAAATTCTTTGAAATTTTCAAAACAAAGCTGTAAGAAGAAACTAAAAAAGAGAAAATAACACATTAACTGCAGCACTAAACGTTTTTTCACAGATAGATATTTTCTGGCATAAAAAAACCAAAAAACTTGCTTTTCAAGAATTTTTTAAGTTTCGAATTTGTTTAAAAAAATGTTTTAATTTTTGGAAAATATAGCTATATTGCTTACGACTGTTTTTAACTGTCAAAGATAACTGGTAGTACGTAAATATTTATCCGCTTATTGGTTTTAGTTGCAGTTCAAATATTTATTTCAGAGAACCCCGTTGTGGCGTGCTTCTTCAGAAGGCCATTTAGACGTGGTAATGTATTTAGTCGAAGAAGGAGCTCATATTAATGCAAGGAATAAGTCAGGGGTAACAGAAAACTAAAAATGTTTTTTGGTTTTGTAGTATTTGGTCACTGCACTCCGATAGTTTTCAATTGTTCGTCAGTTGCCTGATAACACTGCAGTTCTGCTTTTGACCCACTTTCATTGCTCTGCTATGCATTTATCAAAAAAATAATAGTGTTTCTTGAAGGCAACAGAATCAAGTTAGCAGAAAACACAGCATCTGAGAAAAACGGTTCTCAAAAAGCAACGTAGATCTAAGATGTGAAATTTAGTGACTAAATACAAACGTTATACTACTGCATTAGCGCTTCAAGAAGACGATAATGAGCAATTTTAGAGAAACGAACTGATCAAATGATGCGTTTTAAAGAAGTTATTTTTAGGGAAAAACATAGCAAATAGCTATCGAAAATGGTTAAACAATTCAGAAAAAAACAATTTAGAAAAAAAAAAGTACGTGATGGAATGAACAGATAATACAGTTTTGATAACACATCTGTTTTTGCATTCAAACCACCAGAAATCCATAAAACGAGCAATCTTCAGTTATACTTAGACAGTTTAGTTTTGTTTGCTTAGTGTGCTTATGACGTTTTTCTTCATAGGCTTTTTCATTGACTGCATTATATATTTACAGTATGGCTATTTACAAATAAAAATTATATAAACATTTGTTAACTAGAAAATTTCTCTTCTACTTGTTAAATTTTGGTTTTCACTAAACACGGCTATGAAACTTACTAGGTACAGATGTTTAAACATATTATTTGCTAAGCGCTATTTTAAGAGAATATCTGATGTTGTAAGTCTTCTTCGATGGGGAGCAACACATAGAACCTAAGCATGAAACTGTTCAAACTGTTTAATCTACAGAAGTGATAAAGAGGGAATATAAAAGTTGAACATTGACGATGCACTATGCACGTAAAAAAATCATTTTTTATCTTTTGCTCATCTGCATTTTAATAATTCAAACAATTGTCCTAATTTTAGTCTGTTCAAGACTTAGGTTTAGCATGCCTGCTTGAATTCTTTAATTTTCTTAACATTTCATCTGCTTGTTAACCTCCATCCCGTCAGTAGTGTGCAGCACTTTAAGTGACTATGAACTAACATCAGAAATTTTCATTCTGAACGCATAATTATATAACGCTCAATAAAAGAAAAAAATTGGCAGTAATTTTCTAAAAAGCTATTATCTTTTCACACCTTAATAAAAATAAAAAATATGAAAGAAAATTTGTTGTACAGAAATGCTTAATTACTTATTTTTTTCTTGATAAAAAACTGTTTATTTTCAAAAGTTATTGCTCTACATTGAAGTAGATTTGCTATATAACTATTGAGAATTTACTAACAGTAGAACATGAATTATTTGACTGCATTGACCATATTAATTTTTCAAGCTAATGTCTTCAAAATTTTTGTCACAATGATTTTTTTTATTCAGCAGACGTCCTTACACATTGCGGCATCTAAAAAATTTGCTAACGTAGTTAAGTACCTAGTGAAAGAAGGAGCAGATGTCAATGTGAAGGATAAACAAGGAGTAAGTTCTATTGATTTTTAAAAACCGAAATTGAAAAGTCTTCAACATTGTATCAAATAAAGTATGTTCAGTATTATTTTCTGCTTATACCAGATAACTGTAGAAAGGCAACAGTTTTGCCAGTTAGCTGACCACTATTGCATATCTTTGTACAGGTTCGATAACACAGTTTAAACAGATTAAGCACAATTCTTTTTTCAATAAGAAGATTTAATGACAACAGCAATTACTGAAAAAAAAAAA